AACCCACCAGCCGGGGGGGGGGGGGAGGGGGGATTGTTACTTCTTTTACTGCTTGCAAAGTGGGCTGTTTTTGGTTTCTTGGCTGGTCTATGCATTTCATAATTTTCATTTCATTCTCCACATGCTGTCCTTGCCTACAGGCACCACTCCTGCAGCTCCCATTGATCAGTAATGGGGAACTGTAGCCAGGAGAAGCCTGTAGATGAGGGGCAGCACATGGCACCATGGAGCCATTGCTGTACATGCCAGCTGCTCTCAGGAGTGGTGCAGGGCCAGGGCAGGAGTAAGCCTGCCTTAACCCCACTGCTCCACCACCCGGAAGCAGTCTCAGTTAAACAGTGCCCAGCCAGAGCCTGCTTCCTGAACCCCATCCCAGCCCTGAACCCCCTCTACACCCAACCTCGAGTCCCAGACATGAGTCCCCCAAACACCCAAACCTCTTCCCAGAGCTTACACCCTGAAACGCTTCCTGGACCCCAATCCCCCACCCTGGGCTAAGCCCAGAGCCCTGCGCACACTTCTAACCCCTTGGTCCAAGATAAGAGCTTGCATCCCTACCCCAGCCTGGTGAAAGTGAAGGAAGTGAGGATGAGAGAGGAAAGAGGATGGAGTGAGCAGGGTGAGGCCCTGGAGAAGGGGTGGAGCAGGGGTGGGGCCTCAGAGAAGGGGCAGGAAGGAAGTGGGGCAAGGGTATTTGGGTTTGAGGTAGATCTTACATTGCACTTTAATGGGTGATGCTTTCCAGTCAACCATTAACCAGTGGGGGCTGGATCAGCTCCCCCCTGCCATGAGCAGGGGGCTGCTCCAGCCCCACCGGGGCTCACTGCAGACAGGGGCTGCTCCACTCATGCAGAAAAGCCCCTATCTAAGGCGGGGCCGGGGGGGTTGGCAGGGCGGACCACCCCTGGATGAGGCCCACCAGGGACAGGGCTGGAGTAGCCCCTCCCAGCAGTGGGAGGGCTGCTCTAGCCCAACGGGATTTTACATCCCTATTGGAGTCCAGGTGAAAGGTGCAGAAATTACGAAGAAAGGAAGTGAAGGAAACAGATTCTAACAATAGGGTTAAGGAGAGGGGAAAAAGAAGCCACAGTCAAACTGTGACTAACATCTTAATGTAATCAATATGTACAGTATCTCTACTGTACAAAATAGAATCCCACAGAGAGAATAAAAGGTCACAATCCTTAAATATACCAAATACAACACAATCAAATCATTGTAAGTTCTTCCATTATTCATACAGTTCTAATGACACTGGCCTAGAATCTCTCTCTACTGTTCTCCCCTCCCCTTTTCTATGTCAACAACTGGGTATTTAAAGGTTTGCCTCCAATGTAGAGCTATTTGGGGTTAGAACTTTTAGCATCTGTACATCTGTCTTATGGAATTACCCTCTTTAGACCCAAAAATGTATTTTAGCCTTTAAATCAAACTTCCAGACACACGTTTGAAGATATTTTATATTTCAAACGTATTTAAAAGTAACTGAATTACTCTGCGAAAGATGTTGAATGCTAATTACCGCCAAACACTGGTGGTTTTCAGTGAAAGATGCTTTTGTTTCAAACCACTGTGTATGTGACACACTTCCCCCCGTGTGCACACACCCACACACATACCCACACACATCCTTCCCTGTGGCTAGTTCATGCAACAGGTTTGATCATTACATTTTCCAGCCTGAGCCCATCACACTTTCTTGCATTCGGATTGTACAAGAAACAAGTTTTCACACAAAAAATTAATCCAATTTTTTCAGCCAGATTTGAAACATCTTGATCTGCTCTAAAACAGCAACATAAATATTATTCATGAAAAAAATAGTCCTTTGTCCCCAACCAGCTTTTCTTGAAACCAGGGGATTTTTAACCCATGATTACAGTCAATAGGACCCAGGCCCCTAAATGACTTAAGTGTTTGTGAAAATTTTTATCCCTCACCTTCTAGTTGAACTAGTAAAGTCTCTTGCCTTTAGCACCGGTGATATAAGTTTCAAACCTGAATGACAGCTCCTCATCCAGGTCAGTTACACTAACAATAGGGATGTAAAAAGTAACTGTGTAACTGCTAAAAATCCTAATAGTTACACAAGCTGTGGGCTCTGTAGTGCTGCCATAGCAAAAGGGCTGCTAGTCCCGCTCCTGGGAGCCAGTGTGTAACCTGGGGGGGGGGGGGGGACTCCCTGGTAGGCCCCAAGAGAGCAGCCCCTGCTGGTTAATCTTTTATACAACTAACTAACAAACAGTATTCCTCTACAAAAATACCCCTTCCATTGCATGAAACTTCTCTAACTCATATTGTAAAGCCAAATCTTAATGCCAGCTACATATCAGGACATGGGCCACAATCCCTAAGCAACTGCAGCGCTAACCTTAAATCTCTGAGGTTGATGAAACTGTATAGTTGCTTTTTTCTGATCAAAGTCTCTCTTCAGCTGCATATAGTTCACTTTGCCATCTTTATTTAAAACCTTCTTTTTACCATTCACGCATCTGCAGACATTAATATCTCTTCCATAGTATAAACCCTGGCTGGACAGCTTCTTCAAATCCATTAGCTGGAAGAGAGACTGGTAGTAAGCAGCCACTGAAGAATCATCTCTCTGAATAAGCAGCGGCTTTTGTTCCCAATACTCCTTGAAGAACTCCTCTTGTTTGATGGGAAAGATCAAACTTTCAAAGACACTGTTTGGGCTATCATAGTTCATAGGTGATGGAGGGCAAGATACTTCCATCTTTGCTCGTTTACATGGTACATGTACTTTCCTTTCAGTTTCATCTTGTTTTCCTCCTTTCTTGGGCATGTTCCTGTTTAAGGTGATAAAGAAAATAAGGCCGTTAGAAATAAGAGAGTAAATCAGCTAACAGGGTACCAGCCTGTGAAAGGGATGTGTTGAGGCCTACCCAGAATATGTCAAATGAGCACCAGTTTAATTTAAGTGGAAAGGAAAGGCAGCATTGTCAGATACAGGAGATAAAAATAAAAACAAGATTTGATTGGTTGACCAACAATAACCCCGCTTTTAGGGAAGTAAGTAACTCAGACAGCAGTATGCAACAAAGTGCTGATTACCCCAAATGGAGCAGACGAAAGTTTTTTGTAAGGGCAGAATGAGACACCAAAAATCTAACGTCAGCAATTGTCAGGCGAGTGGAGGAGTACCAAAATACCGAAACAGGGTATATAAGGTGGGCTGAAACAGACCAAGAGCGGACGGGTTGCGAATCCAAAAAGCCAGGTCTGATCAACCACGGCTCCCTCCCCGGCGCTGAATCTCGCTGCCGCACATAAGCTCCGAAAGGGGAACAAACAAGCTCCGAAAGGGGAACAAACACCTGTTGCAACGAAAAATCCAAAGAAAGGAAAAACATAAAGAAAAGAATATCTCCTGAATCTAAGCAATGCTTCTATCTTTCTTAGCGTGAGTATTATATATTTGTTAACTCCATAAATTGTTTAAAGATAACTCAGGAGGGTATATCTGTAGGAGAAGTTATTATTTCTTTTTTTTTAACTGTACTGTTTTTCTACTTTTTCTTTGTATATTATATTGTCTTAAAAGAATCAAAAATAGTGAATTGATTTAAATGGAAAATTAATTATAAAGTAAATAGAAAAAATAAAAAATCTTTGTTTGACCCTAAAAAGAAGTATTCCTCTGTCTGCGGTTTCAAATCCTTTAAAGAACCAAACCCGGTTACCGAAACAGCCCACAGTAGCACCTCTCGCTTTAATACACAAAAACCTGGAGCAGGGGAATTACATGAAGAGCTCCTTTCAATTTCTCCTCCTGTACTCCAAAGGACAAGAGAGAACATTCACATGCGCCTCAGTTCCTCTCACAAAGCCTTAGGGATTCCCAAAGACCCATGCTAATTTAGGCCCCAGTCCTGCAACTGGCTCCATATAGGCCCCCAATATCTATGACAGGGCCCTGCCTTGAACACAAGGTTCCCTACGCACAGAACGAGCTGCAGAATTATGACCTTTCACAGAGGCAGCGAAGAGGGGGGGCAGGAGCCAGTGCTGGGGGGAGCCAGTTTAAAAATCGGTTCCCCCTCCAGCACTGATTCCGCAGGGGGCAGAGGCGCAATGGGGGAAACAGAGTGAGCTGGGAATGAGCAGTCCCGGCTCCCAGATGCTGTGCCTCAGCTTTATAAATTTAGTAAGAGTCTGGCAGCTCTTACTACATTTAAAAAGCAGAGCTGCAGCGAACCCTCTTATCGACTAATAGAGTAGGCAATGGAAATTCCATCGACTCCTCGAGTCGCTTACTAACCACTATTTAACATCCCTAATAGGGATGTAATAGTACAGTCGATTAACCAATAAGCAAAAGCTTATCAATTAATACTACAGACTACATGCATTCTCCCCTCCCCCGCTAGTAAATTTTTTTGCTGGCTGGCCAGCAGTCTGACTCAGGCTTGGCTTGCGTTGGGTCCGGGACCTACCCCCACTATGGCTCTGCATTTAAAATGTATTAGGAGCAAGGCAAGCAGACAGCCCAGCTCAGTTTCGGCTCACACCAGGTCCGGAAGCTTAGACATCCACCCCGGACATGAGCTGCTGCCACCCCACTCTCCTGCCCCTGTATCAGAGGCAACAGCGTAGGGCAACAGGCAGCCGGTCCACAAGGAGAGCTGTTTTTTAAACTGGTTCCTCTCGCAGACCAGCTCCTACCTGGCACCCCACACGGCTGCCTCTAATACAGAGGCAGCAGCACAAAGTGGCGGGGGGGGTTCCTCAGGAGCAGGGCTGGAGGGTACTGGCTGCCAGCCCCATGCCCAGGAACTACAGAATAGTTGAGTAACTGACAAGAATTCATTACGTTAATCGACTTCAATTAACCGATATTTAACATCCCTAATATAACCCCTGTAGTGCAAATGCAGTTCTGCCAGGATCAAAATGCTCACACAGGAGTAACTTATTCCTGTACAGGAATGGAAATAAGCTATACAGGTATAACTGTCCACAACTGAAGTTATAATTATTTTGATACAAAGTCACATAGAAGTGTTTTGGTCAGGCGATCAACACACAGAGTGGGTGCAGACCAGAACTAAGGGCTCGGAAATTGAAAATCAAGACAGACATCCCACATTTAATTTTTTCTCTTCAGAATTTTACGATTTTTCAACGCCACCCATCCCATGACTTTGGGGAGCACTGGAGGGTTAATTTAGGATTGCTGACTGTCTGAGGTTGGCAATACTAGTGCCTCATTTATTTCTGCCTTCAACCTCACAGGCTTGCCTTTACAAAGAAAGTTTGCCGCTTCTAATTTTTGTCAGTAGCACTGAAGCCATAGGCTGACCTTGGTAAAGCCTCCCATGCCTTCCAACAGGAGGGATGGGGGAAGTTAAGCCAACCTGTCCTCTAGGAAGACGGTGGCCTTTTTGTCACCACTGGAGACCCAGAACACACAGGTGCTGGAATGATACTTTAGGGCTGGCTGCTGGGTCACTCCAGCTTCTACCACTGTGCTGTCTTCTGCTGTGGAGAGAATGGGAGAGGGGCCAATCCCTGCTGCCATCCCACACCAGGCCTTCCAGTAATCCCCCGGTTCACGTTACTTGGGGGGAAGAGGCTTTGGGCAAGAAGGCAGAGCAAGGTTGAGGTTTGAGGAAAAGGGTAGAGCGGGGGCAGGACCTGTGATGAGAGTGTCACCCTTGGCCCCATGCCTGGGGGACATTGGGAGGTTGCAATAACAAGGACTGATGTACAGCCACTCTGAAATCCTAGCACCTCCAGCTGCTACCTCTGAGAAGAAGTGTAATTATATTAACATTTTGCAGACTAGGAAACTAAGAGAAACACAGGGACTCGACAAGCTCACAAGTCAGTGGCACAGCTGCAAGCAGAATTCAGGAGTTCTTCACTCCCAGACTGTGATCAAACTGCACAATGTTTGTAGAACACACACTCTTCACCCTCCAACAGGTAGTGTTAGTTATTAGGGCTACATTCACAATATGTAGATTCTGCAATTCTCAGGATCCTCAGCTCTGCTTCAGAACATATTACATTCTATTTTTGTGATTTGTGAGTCACTATGACATCCCCTTTGAAGAGGCTGAGTGAGTGAGTCATGATGTCCCTTTGGGACTGCAAGTATTTAATTTGGTTTTAATATTCCCTTAATGGTCTAAGTCATGGATTCCAAGGCCAAATTATCACAATGGTCTAAATATGACTTCCTTTATAACAAAGACCATAGAACTGTCCCAAGCTAATCACTACAGCATATACTTTAGAAAAAACAAATCTTGATTTTAAAATTGTCAGATATAGAGAATCCACCACAACCCTTGGTAAATTGTTCCCATGGCTAATTGCTCTCAACATTAAAAATGTACACCTTATTTCCAGTCTAGCTTCAACTGACAGCCACTGGTTTTTGTTATACCTTTTAGGGATGTAAAAACCCATTAAAATAGTGAATTGGTTAAACAATTAAAATTTTATTATTTAACCAGTTCACCACCCCGGGTGGGAAGGCTGCTCTGGCAGTGCTGGTTAACAGGTTACCATGTAAGCAGGCTGATAATCCTACTACTTACCAGGTAACCAGTTAAATGCTTACATCTCTAATGCTTTTCTCTGATAGACTGAAAAGACTTATTAAATACTAGATTATTTACCCAGCATTGCTCAGATCCTTCGGGGGAGGGGTCTGGGAGAGTGTGTGGGGGGGAGCAGGGTTTTGAGAGGGTGGGGGCGGCTATCAGCTACTCCCCAGGGCTGGTCCAGGATGGTGGGGGCCATGCTGCCCAGACACCAGCTACTCTGCAGCTCTCCATAGCTGCCAGGGAGGCAGGGACTTCTCTCCTGGGCCAGCCAGGGCAGTGGGAACCTGTCCCCTGGACTGGCTAATGGCTGCTCAGCAGTTCTCTGGGGCAGTTGGGGTGCGCTTGCTTGCCAACCACTCTGGTCATTCTGGGGCATAACTGTCCCTGCTATCACAGCCCTCCCTTTCCGTTTGATGAGAAACAATCACATTCCATTCACATCCCATTGTCCTGGCACAGCCAACCCCCGACCTTGCTTTAAGTGAGGATAGGAGAAAGCTGCACACCAAATTTGGTGGCCCTAGCTCTTACCGTTTAAGAATTCTTGAACTCACAGATGCACAAACCCTCTCAAATACATAGCAAATTTGTTCCCCACGTAGATTCTTATAAGACAGGAATCAAGTCACCTCTTTACCTTCTCTTTGTTCAGGTAAATATGGCACTCCTTGAGTCTACTCCGATCAGGCCACTGTTCTCAAACTGCAGATTAGGACCCCAAAGAGAATCACAACCCAATTTTAACGGGGTCACCAGGGCTGACTTGCTAGGACCTGGGGTCAAAGCCGAAGCCTCAGCTCCATTGCCTGGGGCTAAAGTGTGAGGGCTTCTGCTCTGGGTGGCAGGGCTCAGATTTCAGGCCCTCTGCCCAGGGCTGAAGCTCTCAGGCTTCAGTTTTGCCCTCCATGGGGTAGTGGGGCTTTGCCTTTGACCCCAACAGAGTTCCTCCCTCTGGGGTCCTGTATTAATTTTTGTTGTCAGAGAGGTTTCACAGTGCAATGAGGTTTGAGAATCCTGCCATAAGACACATTTTCTAAATCTTTAGTAACTCTTTTGGCTCTTTTCTGAGCTCTCTCTCCAATTTATCAACATCCTTCTTGAATTGTGGGCATCAGAACTGGACACAGTATTCCAGCAGCAATCACACCAGTGCCAAATGTAAAGGTAAAAAACCTCTCCACTCCTACTCGAGTCCCATTTTTATGCACCCAAGGATTACACTGGCTTTTTTGGCCACAGCTTCTCACAGAAAAGCTCACATGTTGCTGATGATTCACCAGGATTCCCAAATCATTTCAGAGTCACTGCTTCCCATGGGAGAGAACATCCGCCCACAACCTGCACAGCTGCCTCTGATACAGAAACAGCAGCGTGAAACTCCCTAGGATCTGGTGGGTGCCTGAAGCCAGCTTTTAAGCTGACTCCCTGCACAGACCAGGAGTCTGCATGTAAGGTTATCGGATCAGGTAGCCTGTATGCAGTTACACTTTCACATCTGTAGATCACACCTCAGCAGGGTCATCTCAGGCCTTCAGTCTTGCATGGCAGACAAACAGTATTCCATACATAAAGAATATGGGAATGTGGGGTTTCAGATGAAACTTAATGAATAGCTGTTCTGATACTTCCCCACAATGTGTAACTAGGTGCAGTTGGTTGCTGCATTCTGCCACAGAGAGATGGGCATTTTGGCAGAGTTATATGTATGAAGTAATATTAGTATTCTGGTACCTGGGATGAAAGGTGCTACCAATGGAAGATATGATGCAGTCTGCATATAGTCTTGTTGTTTAACAATGCATGAAGCCTCTACCTCAACCCCAAACACTTTAATAGGGAGGATTTTTCATCATATTACTCCCCTCTTCTTTATCTCCTGCACATTAAACAGAACATTTTAATTGTTACTGCTTTATGCCTGGCCTCAGAAAGATCAGATTTTCAGTAAATGTAGCTAAAATCAATTCCCCTGAATATACACAAACCAACAACAAATTTCCATACATTACAGACATTTACAGATGGGCAGAGTAAGAAAAAAGCTGCTTGAAAACTTACCAGAGTTTGATTAGAAGATATGTACTTTGTTGCTACACAAAGTTGACAGCATGTGTGCGCATTAGCAGTTATAAAGTTTTCACTTTTTGAATCCCAACATCTATGGTCATTCAATAATTACTGTCAGGCATCCCTCCTTCCCCCAGTTCCCAACAACTATGGAAATTTAATTTGATACAAATTATTTAAAAATGCTTAGGGCTCATAATTTTGCACAACTGTGAATCATTAAATAGGGGTGGGGGAATGCTTTAAAACAAACATTAAAAATAAAAACCACATCCTGTCAAGCCCATGGTGCCCCAGACATCCCTCCACCCAATCTTGGCCCTGACTAAGAAGTTCCAGGAACCACAATCAGGTGCAACAGAACAAGAGGGGAGGGGGAGAACAGAAGAACAAGGATTTTGACCCCATTTTAAATTTAGCTGTCCTCACTAGGGATGTAAAATCCTGTTTAAACTGTTAACTGGTCAAACTATATGTTCAACCAGTTAACTGCCTGCCAACTCACAGGTAGGGGTCTGCTGCAGCCCAGCTAGGCCAGGCCTGCCACATCACAGGTGGGGGCCTGCTCCAGCTGGGCCAGGCACCAATTAACCAGGCATGGGGGGCAAATTATAGGGGCAGAACCAAGAATATTTCTGGCCCTGGTGCTGGGCTCCATCAAAACTCACCACCTGCCCCCTGCAAGCTCCCTCTGCATGTTCTCCAGCCCAACCCCAAGGTGATTTAAATTGCCACCAGCAGCGCAGTGGGGTTTGAGTGGCTTCTGGATGCTAGCCCCCTCTCCCCGTGGTCCCTGTGGTCAAAAGGTGGAGGTGCAGGGGTCTCCGTGTCATGTGCTGTTCCAGCTTGTAGAACAGGGGAGGCCCAGAGACCCTGCTCCAGAGACAGGGATGCACAGGCAGGTGTAATGAGATCACTCTAGTCCCAGGCTGTGTCTACACTGTAGGCTTTTTGCTCAAGAACAACTGTTTGTGCGCCAAAAATTGCAGAGCATCTACACTGCATGCACGTTCTTGCTCAAGTATATTTACAGTACAGCGCCAGAAAACACGGCTTCTTCCGGATGAGCTATTCCTCTCCCCGTGAGCAAGAGCTCTTCCACAAGAAGGCAGCGTAGACAAGCAACATGAATTTCTTGCGCAAGAAACCCCTCTGGCTAAAATAGCCTCCAGAGCTTTCTTGCACAAGAGAGCATCCACACTGCCATGGCCGCTCTTGTGCAAAAGCACATGGCAGTGTGGACACGTTCTTGTGAAAGACCTTTTGCACAAGAACTCTTGCGCAAAACCGTTCTTGTGCAAGAAGCCTGCAGTGTAGATGTAGCCCCACTGTGCTGCTGGTGGTTCTCCCCCCACCCCACCCCTGGCATTTTATATTACGGGGGGAGGGGGGAGGAAGGTTTCTAGGATCCCCTCTCTCACCCCCAGGAGCAATTGCCAGAGAGTGGTGCCCCCAGGTAAGTGTGACAGCCACCATCCCCCCCACACCCTCGTGTACCCCAGCCTGCACCTCCCCCCCATTCTCCCAACCTTGCCTCCAGAGCCCGCCCCCAGCTCCCTCTCAGAGCCGTAGGGAGGTGGGTATATTTATCACAGGATGCAGTCCCACAGAAAGTGCATTTACCATTGATGGGTACATTATGGGGCTGTTCTCTTTAGACCAATTGAATCACTTTTAGGAAAAGCACTTTCCTTAGCTTAAAGTCAGCTGCTTCACTTCTGACCTGACAGTAAAATGTCCACAGTTAAAATCATTAGTATTTGACTACACCACCCAACATCTCTTGTAAAAGTGGGCATAGAGAAAGTGGTGTTTTTCTGTCATTCATTTATTCATTTCCAGGCTTTTAACTTGTCTTTGTTGATTTTGCTGCACTGGTCTGTTACTGCCACTGTGTCTGTATATGCTTATTGGGATTTTTTTCATATATAGTACTATGAGATTTACCTGACATTACTCAGATCCTTCTGTGCTGGGAGTATGGGGGTGCAGGAGCCAGAGCAGGGTTTTGGAAGGGGTGTGTATATGTGGGGAGGGGGTTCAAGGAAGGGGATGGGGATTCAAGAGCCAGGACAGTGGGTAGGAGGCTCAGAGCAGGGTGTGAGAGTGGCCATCGGCATTGCTCCCTGGAGCTGGCCCAGGATGATGAAGGCTGCTGTGCTTCCCAGCTGGCAGTATTGCTCCCTGGGACTGGCCCAGGGTGACGGACACACTTGCTTGCTGCCCCCCATGGTCATTCTGGGGCATAACTGTCCCTGCTATCACAGCCCTCCCTTTCCGTTTGATGAGAAACAATCACATTCCATTCACATCCCATTGTCCTGGCACAGCCAACCCCCGACCTTGCTTTAAGTGAGGATAGGAGAAAGCTGCACACCAAATTTGGTGGCCCTAGCTCTTACCGTTTAAGAATTCTTGAACTCACAGACAGATGCACAAACCCTCTCAAATACATAGCAAATTTGTTCCCCACGTAGATTCTTATAAGACAGGAATCAAGTCACCTCTTTACCTTCTCTTTGTTCAGGTAAATATGGCACTCCTTGAGTCTACTCCGATCAGGCCACTGTTCTCAAACTGCAGATTGGGACCCCAAAGAGAATCACAAACCAATTTTAACGGGGTCACCAGGGCTGACTTGCTAGGACCTGGGGTCAAAGCCGAAGCCTCAGCTCCATTGCCTGGGGCTAAAGTGTGAGGGCTTCTGCTCTGGGTGGCAGGGCTCAGATTTCAGGCCCTCTGCCCAGGGCTGAAGCTCTCAGGCTTCAGTTTTGCCCTCCATGGGGTAGTGGGGCTTTGCCTTTGACCCCAACAGAGTTCCTCCCTCTGGGGTCCTGTATTAATTTTTGTTGTCAGAGAGGTTTCACAGTGCAATGAGGTTTGAGAATCCTGCCATAAGACACATTTTCTAAACCTTTACTAACTCTTTTGGCTCTTTTCTGAGCTCTCTCTCCAATTTATCAACATCCTTCTTGAATTGTGGGCATCAGAACTGGACACAGTATTCCAGCAGCAATCACACCAGTGCCAAATGTAAAGGTAAAAAACCTCTCCACTCCTACTCGAGTCCCATTTTTATGCACCCAAGGATTACACTGGCTTTTTTGGCCACAGCTTCTCACAGAAAAGCTCACATGTTGCTGATGATTCACCAGGATTCCCAAATCATTTCAGAGTCACTGCTTCCCATGGGAGAGAACATCCGCCCACAACCTGCACAGCTGCCTCTGATACAGAAACAGCAGCGTGAAACTCCCTAGGATCTGGTGGGTGCCTGAAGCCAGCTTTTAAGCTGACTCCCTGCACAGACCAGGAGTCTGCATGTAAGGTTATCGGATCAGGTAGCCTGTATGCAGTTACACTTTCACATCTGTAGATCACACCTCAGCAGGGTCATCTCAGGCCTTCAGTCTTGCATGGCAGACAAACAGTATTCCATACATAAAGAATATGGGAATGTGGGGTTTCAGATGAAACTTAATGAATAGCTGTTCTGATACTTCCCCACAATGTGTAACTAGGTGCAGTTGGTTGCTGCATTCTGCCACAGAGAGATGGGCATTTTGGCAGAGTTATATGTATGAAGTAATATTAGTATTCTGGTACCTGGGATGAAAGGTGCTACCAATGGAAGATATGATGCAGTCTGCATATAGTCTTGTTGTTTAACAATGCATGAAGCCTCTACCTCAACCCCAAACACTTTAATAGGGAGGATTTTTCATCATATTACTCCCCTCTTCTTTATCTCCTGCACATTAAACAGAACATTTTAATTGTTACTGCTTTATGCCTGGCCTCAGAAAGATCAGATTTTCAGTAAATGTAGCTAAAATCAATTCCCCTGAATATACACAAACCAACAACAAATTTCCATACATTACAGACATTTACAGATGGGCAGAGTAAGAAAAAAGCTGCTTGAAAACTTACCAGAGTTTGATTAGAAGATATGTACTTTGTTGCTACACAAAGTTGACAGCATGTGTGCGCATTAGCAGTTATAAAGTTTTCACTTTTTGAATCCCAACATCTATGGTCATTCAATAATTACTGTCAGGCATCCCTCCTTCCCCCAGTTCCCAACAACTATGGAAATTTAATTTGATACAAATTATTTAAAAATGCTTAGGGCTCATAATTTTGCACAACTGTGAATCATTAAATAGGGGTGGGGGAATGCTTTAAAACAAACATTAAAAATAAAAACCACATCCTGTCAAGCCCATGGTGCCCCAGACATCCCTCCACCCAATCTTGGCCCTGACTAAGAAGTTCCAGGAACCACAATCAGGTGCAACAGAACAAGAGGGGAGGGGGAGAACAGAAGAACAAGGATTTTGACCCCATTTTAAATTTAGCTGTCCTCACTAGGGATGTAAAATCCTGTTTAAACTGTTAACTGGTCAAACTATATGTTCAACCAGTTAACTGCCTGCCAACTCACAGGTAGGGGTCTGCTGCAGCCCAGCTAGGTCAGGCCTGCCACATCACAGGTGGGGGCCTGCTCCAGCTGGGCCAGGCACCAATTAACCAGGCATGGGGGGCAAATTATAGGGGCAGAACCAAGAATATTTCTGGCCCTGGTGCTGGGCTCCATCAAAACTCACCACCTGCCCCCTGCAAGCTCCCTCTGCATGTTCTCCAGCCCAACCCCAAGGTGATTTAAATTGCCACCAGCAGCGCAGTGGGGTTTGAGTGGCTTCTGGATGCTAGCCCCCTCTCCCCGTGGTCCCTGTGGTCAAAAGGTGGAGGTGCAGGGGTCTCCGTGTCATGTGCTGTTCCAGCTTGTAGAACAGGGGAGGCCCAGAGACCCTGCTCCAGAGACAGGGATGCACAGGCAGGTGTAATGAGATCACTCTAGTCCCAGGCTGTGTCTACACTGTAGGCTTTTTGCTCGAGAACAACTGTTTGTGCGCAAAAAATTGCAGAGCATCTACACTGCATGCAACTGTTTGTGCGCCAA